TGCCCAGAGGGACCAAGACGGCCCCAGACGGCCCCAAGAAGACCTAGAAGGCTCCCAAGACGGCTTGAAAAGGCCTCAAGAGACCCCGAAGAGGGCCCATTCGGGACCCTGCATTAGTACGGCGACAGTCAGTAAATCAATACATAGATGGATAGATCGGTCGACCGACCGATTGGTTGATATCTATATATATATATATACATATACATATACATATACGTATATATGTGTATATATACAAACATGCCTATACATATATATGTATATACACAAATATATAGATATATATATATATATATATACAGAATATATAAATATATATTATATATATATATATATATATATATATATTTATATTGCACACATATGTGTATCGGAGGTTGGGGGGTGAGATCGCAGTGGAACGGAGACCCCCAATCGGGAAATCGTTTCGTTTCGTTCGTGTCGTGCGTGCGGGCGAGGCGAAGCTGCGTGGGCACACGAGAGGAGTGAACCCGCCGCTGCTAGGGTATAGTCAAGACAAATGATTCTCCTCCGCCCGCCCGTCCGGCGGTGGATCGCGGTGTCCCGCGGTGTCCCGTGGTGTCCCGTGGTATCCCGTGGTGTCCGCCGTTGCTAGGGGCTAGAGCGAAGTCAAGACAAATGAGTCTCCTCCGCCCGCCCGTCGGGCGGTGGCTCGCGGTGTCCCGCGGTGTCCCGTGGTGTCCCGTGGTGTCCCGTGGTGTCCGCCGTTGCTAGGGCGAAGTCAAGACAAATGAGTCTCCTCCGCCCGCACGTGCGGCGGTGGCTCGCGTTGTCCAGCGGTGTCCCATGGTGTCCCGTGGTGTCCCGTTGAGCGAGATCGATAGTCAGATCGATAGTGGGGTCGATATTGAGATCGATATTGAGATCGATGTGGTGCCCCGAGGTGTCCCGTGGTGTCCCGCGGTGTCCCAAAAAGTGAGATCGATAATGAGACCGATAGTGAGATCGACAGGTATCCCGTGGTGTCCCATGGTGTCCCGTTGGGTGAGATCGATAGTGAGATCGATATTGAGATCGATGTGGTGCCCCGAGGTGTCCCGTGGTGTCCCAAAAGTGAGATCGAAAGTGAAATCGCCAGGTGTCCTGTGGTGTCCCGTGCTGTTCCGTTGAGTGAGATCGATAGTGGGATCGATAGTGAGATCGATAGTGAGATCGATGTGGTGTCCCGAGGTGTCCCGCGGTGCCCCCTGGGGTCCTATGGTGTCCCGTTGAGTGAGGTCGATATTGAGATCGATAATGAGACCGATAGTGAGATCGAGAGGTGTCCCGTGGTGGCCCTTGTTGTCCCGTGGTGTCCCATTGGTGAGATCGGTAGTGATGTCGACAAGTGTCCCGTGGTGTCCCATGGTGTCCCGTTGAGTGAGATCGATAGTGAGATCGATTGATTCAGATGTTGGTTCCCCTTCTCCCCTCCCGACAACCTCCTTATCACCCGAAGGGTGGTCGTACAGGTATGTATGTATGTATGTATGTATATATACACCTATACGACCACCCTGCGGGTGATAAGGAGGTCGGGGGGGAGGGGCCCAGCAATGGGCAACAGTGGTGAATGTTGTTGTGACAATGCCAGTGGAGATAGTTGCGTTGCCGCTCGCTCTTGGGAGCGTTGGTGTCGAGTTGTTTACGTCACCCTTCGCTCTTTGGCGCCTTGGTACCATTCGGCCCTTGCCCTGGGAACCTGCCCAACTTGCGCAACGGCAGCTAACGGCGCCATTTGGCCACAGAAGACTCAAGCGCTGGCAAAGCTTGGCGCAGCCCGCGCCCCTCTTGCACGATTGATATCACTATCGATCTCTTTTTCGGTCTCACTCATCGATCTCACTCGATCAATCTCACCATCGAACTCACAATCGATCTCATCATCGATCTCTCTCGGCCGGTCTCAATAATCCCACACACGATCCCACCATGCCGCTCGACACACATGCCGCTCGACACGCATGCCGCTCTCTCCGCGTCTCCGCCCATGCCAGTCGACACGAAGACTCCCTGCGCAAAATCAGCAGCACGGCCGGCCCGCTCACTGTCAACGGCGAGCTGAACTGAAGAACTGATGGTGAGGATTCGGCAGCCCGGCCGGCCCGCTCATTGACAACGACGACCAAGGGATTTTCATTCGGTAGTGCTTGTGGCGGTCGTGGCTCGGCGGGCGCCGGCAAAGCCTGGCGCCCTGGAGACTGGTTCAACTGCTGGTGTAGGCGCCGGGAGTGCGGGCGCAGGTGCTGGTGTAGGAACCGGAGCTGGCGTCGGCGCTGGCGGCGGCAACGCGCAACGGCCTAGGCGCTGGCACCGCCGCCCGCCGCCGCTGAGGATGTCGCCCAGCTCCACACAGCACTCGTCTATCTCCGACGCGGGGCCGCCCTCCGCCACGTGGTCGAGCAACCACTGGAGCCCCCAGACCAAGCACTGCAGGTGCCAGACGATCTCATCCACTGGCCGGGGGTTGTCGCCCTGAGAGTGTCGCCGATTTGGC